GCTGAAATGATTGTAGTTCTAAATTAAATAATAATTCTTCTGATGTATATATACACATTTTCAATACTGCAATACTGCAATACTCCAATACTGTAATACTGTAATACGTGGTTTCGATGAAAATTTTCTCTTGCAGAAGTTTGATCATCACTAAATCAACTTCATTGTTTTGTGTTTTTTTTTCCTTGTTGTACAATACGCAGTCCGAAATAACTACTAGATTGAATTTATTGAACGATATGTGCACATATATGGAATGATAGAAATTTCATTATTTAAAGACGACGTTCCCTTAAACTTGATTCTCTCCTAAGTAAAAAGTAATGTTATTTTAAAAAAAAAACCATCGTTATGAAAAAGGCAAATAAGTCTGCTAAGAGCCGAAGGATTCAATTCGTCTCGAATATCACCCCAAACATACCTAGGCCAGGCTCTCGAAATCTTCGTGCAGATGGTGTCTCATTTCAAAATGAGTACGATGAACAGCTGCACACCAATGAGTTGACAATAGATGTCTACGAATTAATTTACCCAGCAACAAATTCCCCACAAGATGACCCACAAGAAGATGACCCACAAGATGATGACCCACTAGAAGACGACCCACAAGAAGACGACCCACTTGAAGACAACCCACTAGAAGACGACCCACTTGAAGACAACCCACAAGAAGACGACCCACAAGGAAACGACCCACAAGTTGACCCACAAGTTGACCCACAAGATAACTCACAGGATAACCCACAAGATGACTCACAAAATATCGTGCAAAATCTAAACACATTCTTTACTAACTCACGAGATATAATGCACGGTGGATTATTCCAATTTCAACATTCTTTTTTCCCATACAATGATTCATATAATGATTTTCTTTTCGATGCATATAATGATTTTTTTTTCGATTCATATGATGATTTTTTTTTCAATAATTATGATCCTGATTCATAAAGCACTGCGTCGTGTGAAATTGACGTTAAACGAATCGTTTTCTTTTTTCTTTTTTTTTTTATCGTTTACATAATACGTACATATCTGACACACTATGAATTTTAAATTTAGTAACTATTAGATTATAAGATTCATCTGTGATAATTATCAGTTTTTTTATAAGCTTTGAAGCAAATAAAGTAGGTTACCGTTACCTATGTCGCAAAATGTTAATTATTTGACGAATCAAAAGTATATTGTCAAAATTTCTAAAGAATCGCGATATGAAAAATGATAAATTCTAATATCATCCTACATAATGTTATACGTATCTTGCGCAAAATAATTTTTAGGGGAATTTACGTATAAGGGCCCAAAAAATATAATTAATTACAAATTGGGGCCCAAATTAAAAGTAATTACA